ATAATTATTAACAATATAGAGTAGAGGAAATGCATGAAAAAACAATTTTTTTCTCTCTGCATGTGCTTATGTAGCAACTAGCCTTTAAAGGCCCGTTTTAATTCTACATCCCATCTTATTTGGGGATTTTTTAAAATATCATGTTAAATGATGCAGTTTCTGTTTATTAGTAGAAGAAAGCATGTTTATGAAAAACTTTGCTTTAGTTAGGCTTCTTTCTATTCAACAGTGACAACAAAACCTAAAATGTTTGATAACATTTTGCTTACATCCATTCAACACTGTTCCAAACCTTGAGTCCTGTGCCCTTAATAAATAGTATAAAGGGGAGGAAATTCCTAAGAATTCTACGTAAAGTGAAGATACTGCATATAATGTAATAAAAGAGCATTTAATCTCAATTGCTATGCAGGTCTTAAAACAGTTGTATGGGAATGTATGGTCTGTTTCATGTGTATGTGCTGTTGAATGGACAAAAGCTTGTGGCTGACTGTGGTTAAAAATGTAAGGAAACTCTTTTTTAATAAGGTATAGAGTTTCCCTGTTATTTTTTAATTGAAACACATGAATCAAAATGTATATCCAGTGAATTTCATAATCTTTTTGAAACGTCAGATTATATTAACAGGTATAATTTCATTATGAGACTACTTTTAAAGATTTGTTTTAAAATATTAAACATCTTAGATTTGATGAAGAATTCCACATACTTTAGACAGTTAACTTAGAATATCTTATTATTTAGAAAATACCAAGTATTGAAGTTCATTGTTTGTTATGGGAGTTTCATGATTTTTTTGGGGTTGTGGAGAGGTAGAATTTTATTTATCTTCAGTGGAAGTTACAGAGTTCATTGGTACAGGAAAAAAAAAAATAGCACATTAAGGTAACCTATTGGGAAGTCTCTGCTTAAATTAGCATTGGATTTCCTAGCACCCAATTAATAATGTCTGGCATGTAAGTGACTAGAAAAAATAGTTATGCTTTGCCATATTACAATTTTAGTAATTTTCAGGAAGGATTTTTTTTTTCGCATTGAGTTGTTGGCATTTGTCTATTTGGCCACGTTTTTATATATTTTTAATAGATGCTATATAGGTAGATCGTTTCAGTGAATTCTTCATATAAAAATATCTAAAGATTTTTGTTAGGTAATAGTATTTGCATTTTTAATGCATTTGATGAGCTTTTGCATGACTTCGCTATTGACTTAGAGTTGTCATATCTTAGCATCCTAGAACAAAGGTTAGAACAGTATGGGAGGTTTATATTTGTATGCTTTGGAGAGGAATTTGAGATGTTACCCTGTTTTGCCATCCATTTTCAAGTATGCACGGGTGCATCATTAATCATGAGAAATGCAAAAATAAATAATCTAGTCCCATTGGATTTTTTTCTATGAATACTTACCTTTTCGTATTTTTATATATATACAGTTGAGGTATTTAGGTAACCTCTAACCTTTTGCTTCAACAAAGAAGTACAGTATAAAAATATTACCACAGTTTTCATGTGAGCAGCTCTTGAGAGGGGGGGAAGCCCTCTAGATGAATATTTGTTGAAAAAAAAAAAAACCAAAAAACTTGTGATAAGAATGTCTTAACTCAGCCCCAGTACAGTACTTGAGGACCACCAGTGTGTAAAATTGAAAGCACATGAATTTTGAAGCACTAGAAAAGGTTTGTAATTGATTAGCGCTGCTTTAAAGTATTGGAGTACAGTGAGTTTTGATTTGTGAATGGTTCTATTCAATAAAGATTAATTCTGTGTGTTTGATAAAATCTTAGTGCCTTCAATGAGTTAGCTCCCTCTGCCCCTGCAGTTTATTTAACCATCAAATATTTCAGTGTTCTTTTAACAAACTGGAACATTTCTATCTTACTGAATTTAACTTTAGCATGACTGATTTAAACAAGTCAGACTATCAGTTGTTAGCTGGAGGAGTGAAATTGAATAGATTAATATTTTATAATTTTAAAATAACTAAAATATATCAAAATGTAATCATGTATATTTCATGCCTTGTGATATAGAGACTGACTGATCAGGAGCTTCACACAGATCAGCCAGATCTTTTTCTACAATTTCTTTTCAGTGTTTTACATTTCAAAACAGTTTTTAAAATTAAAAAATTTTAAAAATTGTTAACAGTTTGTAATGTGAAATTAGAATAATTATAATTTAAAATAATTTATATGAGCCTTTGGGAATTATTTTGACATTTTTCACTTTGGATATGTATTAGAGTGATTTTTTCTGTGTTCGTTCTTAACTTTGTAATCCTGCTCTCTAGATTTTGGAATTTAGCTCTGTATTTTAGAAACAAGTTATAAAACATTGTCACTACTAAATCTTGAAACCATAAAAATATTATTATTGATATGGACCACAAATGCTGTTTTGGAAATCACTGTTCACATATCATATTCAAGCAGTTACAAAGATTTTAAGTAATCAGTCAGCTGATAAATTTTTATGTTATTAATTATAAAATACTCCATGAGTCACATCTGTGATTTTTCAGCAAGCTATATTTATGACAAATAATGGACAGATTTTGAGCAGTACAGATTGAAAATTTTTGATTAACTCAAGGTGAAGTATGCTGAGGGATCAAGGAAACTGAGACATATTCTCTTTAACACACACACACACACACACTCCCTCTCGCTCTCTCTCTCTCACACACAAACACACACACACACACACACACACACACACACACATACATTATATTTGAGGTGAGCCAGTTGTTAATATGTGCTTTGTTCCTTATCTAGGAAAAGCCTAAACTTTAACTGTTTTACGAAATTAGAGCACATACTTATGACATCTCATTAGGTCGTTGTGATAATCATTATATAAGAATCTAAAGCCTGAAGTGAGGTTTTAGACTTCACATACATTATAGAATGGGGAAGTGTTTGCAATGGTGATGATAACCTATACATGATGTCCACTACTCACCTGTAATTAGTCTGAGGTAGTGGGTTCATGTTAAGTTCTCTATTGAGGGTTTAAGATACGGTTTGGGGGCTGGGGAAAGGGAAGGTGAAACCCACTTTTCAGAAGAGGAAGAATTGGTTGTAATGTTAAAAAGAAGTTCACTACCGTGCCTTACTTAGAGTTCTGTCAAGTTTTGGAAATTTTAATGTAGAATAGTTATTAAGAATGTTATAGAAATATAAGATCCCTGTTATGATAGAATAAGAAGCATTTTAATATATTCTTTGTGACAGTTTTAACATAATCTTTGTGTAGCTTTACTTCTAATACTGAAGAATTTTTTGAAACTTTCGTTCCTGATCCGGTTTGTAAAATGTATTTAAAATAAGTAGTTAAACACAGTGATATTGTTAAAAAGTAACTTAACTGTCTCTGTTACCCCTCCCTGATACCTCTATTATCCCTGTTTCAAGTGATCCCTCTGTGTAACAGTAGTCTTTACCTTTCTTTTTCCTTTTATCTCTTGGGTAGTAGTAACAAAAGTTTTGATGTATTAGGTATAATTATGCTATGTGTTATAATGTAGTCTGGCTGTATTTATGTCCTTCCTTAATTTAGGAATTTTTAGAGTCATACTTAGTACCCATCATCTGTGATTATTATATTGTATATATTATAACTTAGGGGGCCCACTTACAGTTGAGGGAGTCACTACAACAATTTTACATTTTTTGTAAAATACTGTATATTTTCATTACCCTGTAAGAGAAAGCATTTTTTCTCCCTTCTAGCTTAATATTTATCTTTGACCTAAACTAAGACTGATCCTCTAGTAGTATAGCCAGTTAAAGTGTGTGAAGTAGGAGGAGTAAAGGAAACTCCGGGCATTTGTTGTAAGTTAAAAGCAAAGTTAATATAGATGTACACAGCAAAAAAATTTAAAGGATATAAGAAAAAAATTTAAAAACTTGCCTTGTATTGGAACATGTTGGATGTCATAAAGAGAATCTTGTAAGTGTGTTTAAATATTTTACTATAATAACATATTAGCTGATGAATGTTAAAGTCATTTGCATATCTATATCAACACTAACTTGAAATTAAATACTAGGGACTATATTATGCCTGCTTCTTTTAAAGTCAAGCATGGTTTAATAGTTGTGGCTTTTAAAAATCATACGGGATATCCTTATGGAGCTTTATTTTTTATGAGACTGAACAGCAGGATTCATTTTGGTAGGTCCAAGAATGTGATTAAAAGAATCTTAAAGACGTTTCAGAGTTTGCTGTGTGTTTATAACAAGGTCTGCTATGGTTAACAGTGTGTGGATGTAAAATTAAAATTATATAGAAAAATGCATTTGCATATAAGTTTTAAAATACTTCCATGAACTTTAATATCCTGGGCAACTATAAAGATCTTTTAAAAATGGCTGTGATGTGCTTATCTTAATTTTGCTTCAGCTGAATATATACTCATATACAGCTGTTTAGAAACAAACTTATTTAGGTAGGCTGTAGTTTAAATTTATAAGTAGATTTCTTTTAGTTGAGCTGGTTAAAATGTTAGCAGTACTACAGGTTTATTTCTGTGTTTTACATGGTAGACCATAATGTTGAGATAATTCTGTGGTCTGTTATTTTGTAAAATTGTTTCCTTTTTGAAGTTTGCTCAAATATTGGGAGCTGCCGGAGTCAATCATTTATAATGCTTTGATTAATTTAGAATCTGATTTTTCTTCTGGTGAGGGTTAATGAGAGTATTAAGCTGTTTCTTTTACTGTTTTCATATCCTCACTTCTGTAACTCTAGAAAACATTTTGATCAATGTGAGATAATTTAATTTTGTCTATTTCAAGTCATTTGAAAATTAGATATGTTACAGATACCAAATGCAAATATATACAGAAATTTCATTTTCAGTTCTTAATGCAACAAGATAGCATTATTAGGATCTTTAATATATTACTTGGAAAAGCTAGCAGTTTAAGAATCATACCTTTATGTTTAACAGGTTCATATCTTACAGGATTTTAAAATATGATAACACTTACCCCAAAAGAAGTTTTGCTGACATGGTGTCACTGTGCTGAAGAGGCTGTTTGATGCCATAGTCCCTCCTTTTTTTTTCAGATAGAACTTGTACCCTCTGTTGTAAATACTGCTTGCAGCCTTAAACTGAAAATACAAACCATACCCAAACTTTGTTTTAGTTTTACAGTATGCCTGGAGTACATAGACTTTATATTTATTTTTTTCTGTCAAGAAATTATGTAGCTGGTAACATGTGAAAAGCAAAGAAACAAAACAAAAAGAGAATGAGCAAATATTTGAAGGACCTACTATTACTGCATAGACTGTGGTTAGAGAGCACTCACTGACTCTGTTGGTCTCGGTGGCTGGTAGTGACCTGCGGAGATTAACCATTTAAAAACCAGAGACTTCTTGCTGTCCTCCTGGAGAAAGTTTGCACCGCACTTGTGGTTCTGTGGTTGTTTGTGAGGCGAATGAAGCATTCACACAATCCAAAAAAGCAAAAGCTTTAAAACTCCTTTTTTTTTGCAAGCACTATTACTGGAGAGGCAGAATCATGTGGTTTGTGACCTCACAGTACTCAAAGTAAAGTGGGACTGCCTACCACTGTGGCTTTTCCCCCTTGCTCTTTCTTTCTCTCTCTTTCTCTCTCTCTCTCTCACAAAAGGCTTGTGGTAAGGCCTTTCCTGGCATCCAGAAGGATATAGCTTTTTAATTTTTGTGACTCATGAGGATTTGGATAGAATACAAATGCTGAAGGAGCCCAAACTCCTGTAAGGTTAAGCATTTGTAGAGCAGAGTTCTGCAGTTAAGGGCTTTCCTTTCTACTCTCCCCCACCAACCCCTGCCTTTTTGCCTCCTCTTTTTAGTTCATTATTGTGTCTGTGGATAAATGAACAAAATTGGCTCAAGAGTCTGTGTGAAATTCTGAACAACAGTGATGATTTACAATAATTTACATCTTTGGACTGTATCACATTCTGGGGTCTGCTTCATATTTGCTGGGTGGCTGGATTCCTTCTGTTTTTCTTTTTCTTGTCTTCTTAAACTTGTGAATCTGTAACTCATTGTAAAAAAAAGTTTACCTTAAGGTCTGGTTGCAAACTGCTTGCTAGGCTTGACTGTAATTGGCTGTGATGAAAGTGTTAGTCTAGGCATTTTTTTACAAATTTTAAATCACGTCTGTCTAGTTTATTATCAATATTTTAGATGGCGGCCTTTCCAATAATGATTAGATGTAATCTTTTATGTATACCATTATCTCATGCCTAGTTGGAAGATCTTAAAAAAGTGAATGACAGGAATTGTAATATAGTTTATTGGATGAATCTTAGTTTTCTTTATGACTGTAATAATTTTTATCTTTCATGGAAGTGTATTCATTTTATATAATTCTTTAAGTAGTTTGGATGCTAACAAAGTTTCTGATAGCAGATCTTCTATAAAGTAAAATGCTTACGTTATAACGTAGATTATTCACTTTAGATTCTGTGAGCTTAGAATAGAGTGGGTTAACAGAAGCTGTATTTTTTTGTTTCTAAACCTTTGAAATAAATTACAAAATGCTGTGTGTAGTAAGGAATAATGCCCACAGACAGAGTATGTTAGTCGTCTCGATTTGCTAATTCTGATTCAGAAGAAAATTGGAAACATCTTTGGGAAACTATCTCCTTTTTTGCCCCTTTGGAGATGTATGTATAGAACTCATTTTCTTATTAGGATGATTATATATCATAGGCAGTGGATTTTTATATTTATGAATAGAGCTTCCTGTTTTCATCAGTTGGGAGCGATGGAGTATTTTTCAACAAAAATTATAAAGGCGAACAGACCAATTTTCTAGGCATTTTTTGCCATTTATCCATGCCACTCTAAATCTGCTTGTTAGACTTCTTCCTAGTGTGACAGTAACTAGGAGTGGCATAAAGTAAATGGGGTAGGCGGAGACAGTGAATTACAAAACATTATTTGGAATGTACAAGGAGGTAAGGGCTGGGGAGATAGGAGGGTGTTAGAACTGAAATATCCCTGCGTTCTTTCTACTTTTGATTCATGTTAGATCATGATAACTGTACAAACATCTTCATAAGTTCCTTTAGAGAAAATTTGATTTTCCCAAAATACACTGGTAGGGCATGGAGATGATTCTAGTCCTTTATTTTTCAAATGTGTAGACCTTTTTCAGAATAAACTTTTAGTGATAAAATACCAAAAATATATTTTGGTGTTTCAGCTACAGATTTTTCATGCCTTATTGTATGTATAAACAGGTTTGCCATCAAAAGGCAAAAAGCTTTCTTTTAACATGCAGTTATTCATGCGAAGGAGAGGAAAATTACGTTTTCTCTTTTATAAATAAGTTGTACCCATATTATCTGTATCTATAATTAGTATCCAAAGTAAACAAAAGGAGGGTTTTGTTCATATAGCTTGTGGATTTCCAAACACAGTTTCATGTGTACATGTAATAGCAGAATCAGTTAACGAAAATATGTAGGTAGCTGCTGTTGTATGATAAGCCAATGGTTTTCTTCTTTTGGAATAAGTTTATAGTTTCTACATCAGTATTCACTGAAACATCTTACAAACCCAACATTTTGCTGAATATTTTCCTCCTTAAAATTTTCTTTATGTATACTTTGGCTCTCCAAATTGACCTGATAAGAATTTGAGTAATTTTCAGCATCTATTTGTCTTTTAATTGCTTGTTCTCTTTTTGCAGGTAATCCTCTTGCACGTAATTTTTGGACCAGGAACATTATTCTTAATGCATAAGAGTTTAGCAGATAATGTTAAATATGCCCTTTTTGTCCTGCGTGAGGCCTATAAAATTCTAGCAGGAGAAAGATAGTGACATCATATGCTTTCAAGTTTGTATATTCATTATCTACATGAATTTTTTTTTCTAAAATGAAAATATATCCTCTTTGGAGCAAATATTACTTTGTTGTAAAAATTTAAAAAACAGTGATAACTGGTATGCATTTGATAATTGAAATTATTTCATTAGAAATAGTTTACTACATGTAAGGAGATACTGTTTTAGAAAAAAGTCATTGCAAATAAAGCCCTTGATTATAGATTTATACCATGCTTATAATGAGAAATTGAAACCACAGATTTAAAATATATATATATATATATATATATTTTTTTTTTTTTAAAGACCCATAACATGTTACCCTCTTTGGGGACATGTTAGTATTTGCTCTTTTGAAGTAAGCAACAGGTTTAGATGTGCTGTATAGATCATGTATTTTAATGATGCAGAAATGAGATACAGTTTTGAACTTGAAATCAATTTCAAAGAAAAAAGTGGTTGGTATCTTGCTTCTCCATTACTTTGTAGTTAATAAAATGTGTCAGAATTGGTTGAACTTTTAAAAATACCAAGATATTTGTGTTTAAATGCTAGGTATGTCTTCATCATAACCGTTTGAATAATTTTTTATTTTCTTAATGATATTTTAAATATATTAGTTTTACTTTGTCAATATTGTGCTTATTTCTATGCATTTTTTAAAGTATGTTTTAGGCTTTTATTTGCTGCTAATTCTATTTTTCTTTTAATTGAAAAAAGAGAAAATGATTTGTAGGAATTTTTAAATGGTAGAAGTCCTAATTTGGCTTAAAAATGTTCAATTAGGAGGTTTTTAGGAAGGAAAATTTTAATTTATTGTTTCATCTTAGCATGTGACTGTATTTTCTTATTTTACTTTTTTTTGACAATTTTTCTTTTTTTTGGATTTGATGTATAGGTTTTTAAACTTACATGACAGCGATTTGGCCTTATATTGATTACTTGAAAAATGTTTCTGTTAGTAAAATATGTATAGTTTCATCTGTTAAATTATAGTGACTGTGCAGTATTCCATTTCCTTGTTTAGTGGGGTATATGTTTAGGTACACAACTACATGCATATTTGTCTGATTTTGTGTGTATACAGGGCATTGTTTTGTAGTACTTTTTATAATAAGAGTATTTTTTCTCAGTTTATTTTAATTAGATCATGTAAAAACCCAAACTAGCACCATTTCCTTGACTGTTTGAACAACTTCATTTGATTTGTTTTAGCAACTTTCTAAATGTGAGATTATGTGGAAATTGGATGCCAGAAGAGAAAATACTAAGTCAATCTCTCCCTCCCTCCTTCTGCCCATCTCTCCCCTTCTACCTGTTTCCACAATTCCTCCTTGTTCCCTTTCTTTCTCCTTCAGGCTTTTTTGGTTTCTCTTCCTTTTTCCCTTCATTTCTATACAGCCTCAAAGTAGATTCTTAAGTTCTAGTAGGGAATATTGACATTAATCCTCATTAATGAATACTTGGTAGATTTGGAGCTCTTAACTCATTACAAATTGTTATATTCTGATATCTAATACCTCAGTTGTTAGATGGTATTGGCATCTGATTATAGAGACTTAATTTCTTTTAGCTGTTTTTAATTGTTTCTTGAATCCTTTTATGCTAATTTACTTTAATACATTGTTCACATAGCGTTAACACTTCATGAGGATTACTGTGTTTTTTTTCTTTGATTGTTTTTTGAAGTGCAGAGTGATCCATACTTGTTTAATGTAGCTGTATAAGTAATTCATGTTTCTTGTAATTATTAGAACAATTCATCTTCGAATGCTGTCATTTTTGTAATAATAAAAAAAGGCGAGAACTTGCAGAAAATGTGGGAAATATGCTCATATGACAGCTGAGGATGTGGCTAGACTAAAGCAGGAAACTACTACCCACAATGCAATGTTACATACACTACCACTTAATAAAATTTATATCAAACATGCTACTGACAAAACCAAAGAAAAATAATATCCCAGCTATGCTATTTAACGTATCTAGGGAGAAGTGAAAGTAAGCTTTTTAGAACCTTTGTACTTAGAGAATATAGTAAATGAAACTGCAGGACATTATTGTATACATTGGAGCACTGCTGTAACTTTGTGCTATGGAACATGGCTGTAGGAAAACTGTCTTATAATGAGAATCTTTTGTATATTAGCTTTCTTGGAAAAGGTACAGAAAGAAAATCTCCTCTCTTTGAATTAAACTGTTTTCGTATTAAATAAGATTAGAGAATATTCTCACTTAGAAAAACAAGTTAAATTTTGAGATATTCATTGTCATCTAAACTTTTAATACAGTCATGTATATTTCTTTACAATTTGGTTTCAGATGTCTTTTATTGCCAAGTTGGGGGTGGGATTTGAATTGTTCACTGAGGCATATTTATTTTTGAAGTAATTATTTTTCTTGCTCTTTATTTATGTTAATAGCTTATTCCATCAGTCTGTGTGCTTTACTATAGGGAGGTTAGTCTAAAGCAAAAATGTGAACCACTTTTATAATGTGGTTGAAGAACATGTTAAGGCATCTTCTAAAAAAAATCGTGTTTTACTATATTTAAGGTTTCCATTTAGAAATCTTCATCTACTGTGCTCTTAACTGTCAGACTTCAGCAATTTTGATGAATTT